ACCTTCTTTTGGTACTCGAACAATGCAGGGCGGCAGGGCGGCTGCTAGTGCTTGTACTCGTAGTCTCCTGGCGTTTTTGGACTGGGCCACTATTGCATACACCCAAAATCAGGATCTTGGCGTATTTTTGTATGGTATGCAATATCAGTCGCGTTCAAAAACGTCAGGAAGTTACGAGTAGATCAGATCCCGCATCTCATTTCCCTGCATAAGTAGCTGATACTGCATGGATGTAATTTCGAGTGATTTGATATGATCGAGCACAATGTAATTTTTCATCGACTTAAGAAAATCCTAGCCATTTTGTGCGTAACTACATGTAAGGGTTTAAATAAAGGATACATATAATATATGTGTACCTACATACATGTATGTACATGGTTTGCATAACGAGGACAAATGATATACCTACAGTACCCTAGGGATTGTTATTAATCAAGTCAACCTAATAAAGAACAAAAGCTTGGTTCAATAAGCTCTAGGATCCTAAGCCAAACCTATCAAATCCACTCCGGGAGACATGTGAACAGATATCTGGCCTTGATCACTTTTATGTAAGGGACCCAGGATCTTTGTAAAGACCAAGTAGACTACCGCCGCCGCAGCACGAACTTTTTATTACGAAAATTTTAGAAGACATTTTACTACATGTAGGTTTGGTCTTTATGATATCTTGGAATAATACACGTATATGTCTTGTACTAATTTCTACAGCCCTTCTATGAATGATGTAATATATATGTTTGAGGGTATAGATATCTAAAACTAAAACGATATATAAAGATTCCTTCATCACCCAAAATTCGCTTGCTAAAAAGATTCAATGTATAGTATTCCACTCTTAGTTTCTCCTTTCAACATCCTGATAGGCGGGGAGTTGCGAAAAAAGCGCTTTGCCTTCAATAAGGCTTCTCTCGGTATTGGCACGACTATTGACAAAGTCAGGGTAATTCAAGGTAAGCTCAGTTGCTCCATGAAGAATGTTATCAACCGCCTCAACACCGAGCATGAATGAATGGTCCTGGTTTCCGACTTCGTATTTCCAGCTGCCGAACCGACCTCTTGAGTGAATGCCCTTTGCTTGTAGTTTAGGAAGTAGCTGCTTCAAAACCCCGTCGCGTTCCAGGCTGGGTGTAGGGTATCCGTGATCGAATCGTCTGTGATAGGTAGATACAATCTCGGCATCTGCACTTATGAGACTGGTGTTGATACAGCCTTGAATAGTATCACGGAGTAGGTTAGGCTCATCAACTGGTTTCATTGACGACTCAGAAATTTCTGTAAATCCTGTCAGCCTATAGTTACTTCTTAACACAATCACACGTTAACATACCCATCATCAATGACCAGTAAGGTCCCCCCTGGGCTTCACTCGAGTCAGGCTTGCTTCCATCGGCTTTCTGGAGGGTGGGTAGCTTGATGTTTTCTTGTGGCTGGTTGTTGGGAGAATAGTTGCTGAAGATAGTTGCACGATAGAACGGGCAATCGTCTTCGGGGAAGTAAAGCTGTCGACAAATTTAGATTCAATAGATAGAAATTTTAGAATAATAGATCCTACCCAGCATTTGTCGCCAATGTTCTCTGGTCTCGCGCCTCGAATACCAATTCCAACAACGTGGGTGGTAGAATAGAACAGATCTTTGGTCATGGTTACCAATTCCTTGTCATCAATCTTTTCGCACAGAGCATCAACGGCCATTGTGCTGACGAGTCTTCCGTATGTAATAGTCTTTCCGTCTGCCAAAGTAGCAACCTTCTTTTCCGCATCAATTTTTTCAACAGTTCCACTCTTACCCAGGCGAATGTTTTGCTTTGGTAGGGTGTTTGCAACAGCGATCCAGATGCCACCAGTACCGCCATGGGCAGGGAAACGGAATGTTGCATTAGGGCCCCAGTTACCTGCCGTCTTCTGGAGAATGACGTTCTTGGTAACAGTCTTGAGATCCGGTGCTGCGACACGCTCTCCAAGCCATTCGCATTGCATCTGAAATTTGACAAGGTTGATGATAAGTATAAGGAACCAAACTTATAATGATCTTGAGAATTTACCTTGGTGGTAGGCACAGCCCAAACCTTGTAGTTGTATGGTCGCATAAATAGATCCGCGATACCCTCACCTATTGAGATTGAAAGTGTCAGTTAAAGATCAGTGCAAAGTCAAATTCAGATTCAAAAAATGGCCTACCCATCATTCTCACAATCCACTCATCGAAGTTTTTTGGCTTCGTGTTTGCAACTCGGAATTCCAAAGCTGCATCGATCATGCCATTCATACAGCTAACCTGGTCTTCCTTGGGCAACATACTAATGTTGTTCTGGAACGGGTATGGAACTTGGATAAAATTAGCGGCCTGTTCTCAAAATTGGATAAGATTCCTTTACCCCAAAGCTCCTTGCAACGGACGTAGGAGATGCGTTGATGTGTATACCAATCATCAGACTTGGGAAGAGCTTCGTTGATGCAATCATCGAAGTACTTGTAATGAGAGAAAATGACATGTCCGCCAACATCATAGAGCTACCGTATTCCATCAGTAACAGAATTTTGAAAGGGGATCAAGAGACGCACAAATCCCTCGGGTGTGACATCGGTAGAAGCAAGCCCTCCAGGGGTTTCATTAGAGTCAACGAGGAGCCAGGAAGCCTCGTTCTGGAGGAATGTTGTTTATTAGCTTGATATCTCTGAAGTCATTAAGATAGATAGAGACGTACAAGCTGGTTCAACCTTTTGGCAGCACCTAGACCAGTAGGTCCAGCGCCAATGACGAGAACATCAACATATCTAGAGAATGGTACTCAGCAACTGTAGCTTCATGAAAATCAGGGAAATCCACTCACGTATCTGAAGACATGATAGCTGGCGGAAATCAGAATTGGATATAACTTGGACGAAAAAACTGCGATTGAAACAAGATGGGGTCAATTGTCTATCGGGGAGGCTTTCTATACTTGGGGGGGTAGAGAAGGAGGGGGATAAGAGGGGAAAGGGGGAGGGAGACGCGAGCACGTTGTGCAGAGGCAACTTACTCTACAACTAGATTTGAAACTGGGCTGAAGCCCTGGACATAAGCCCCCTAGTTAGCTGTGGAACCCAAATTAGGGTCCACACGGCAGGGGCTGTCTATCAACACATATTCAGCAATTCCACAAGGACATCAAATTGCAAACCAGTTTTTGATACCGCAATCATGTAGGTATCCTGATTGCTTACGTCCTTCTCGACGGGCCCACTTCCGTTGTGCTTAGCCAGGGTTGTTGGTATGTATGTATAAGTACGCGTGTCAATTTTCAGGGGAGCTCCATGGCCTCGAACTCGAGCGAAGAAGTCAAGCTTCAAACGCGCTGTACGTATTCGAGGATCTGGGAGTTAGAGATTTGTTATTAAAGTCTAGACTTGATGCACACATGTACGTAGAGTAAGGTTAGTTGTACTCGGGGCAGGCATGAAGAACCTGAAAATGACTTTTTATGGTAACGACCTCTGATTCGCGGCTGGCGAAAAGCTACACCAAATTGAGCCCCTGCTTGCAGCTTGCATTTTCGGGTTCTTATTGCCTGCCCCGAGTACATCTTGTACTAGTTTGTGCGGCATATCCTACATACACATATGTATCATATACATACCCTTTGGTGGGGTTCGTGAATGTTTATTTGAGCCTCATAATAATCGTGCAAGGGTCCAAGCTACGTTTCTGGGCAAAAAGTCTTGTCTATAGCTGGCAGTGGCAGCGGTGTTTTCTCAATGCTTGACTATTAGGATTATGCGAGATTTCTCTGAACTTTTCCTACAGCAACACATTCATCTTGATTGTCGTTGATCTTAGATATTCCAATACCTATTTTTCACCGAACCACTATCAACATTCTTGGCGTTTTGTTTCCTGGAGACGGACCCTGATATCTGAATTAAGAATTTCTTTGCTAGATGCTTTCCTACAGCTTTAAACACCTTTCTTGAAGCTATATTTGGACATGCATCTATATTTTATGTATCGTGACCAATTGGTGGGGCAAAGCAATGTCAACGATAAGCGTCCCGCAGTGTCTTTGTTTTTTCCTATTGTGCTATTTTTTCGCGTTTCAGCATCTCACCCTTCTGGGGGACCGCGGTGTAAAAATACTAGAGCTCGCAAAACTATATGCATCTTGGGTCATGACGGGAATTTCGTCCAGGGGTGATCGTCTTTTCGAATTTTGAATAGGGGCTGGGTTACTCAGAACACGATAGCGTATCGTCTTGGTAGCACGTTGATCTATGTGTGGTTGTGGATCGAAATAAAACCTCTGCTGCATTCTTCCCTGTTTGAGCGCCGTCAGCTTAGAGCCAGCTCTCCAACCCCCTCCTTCTTCGGTATTATTTCGACCTTCTTTTCTTCTAGGTACCTCGCGTCCTAACCTACTGCTTTCGCCGTACAGTTTCTTCCAGAATCCTGCATCTATCATCTTTACTGTCGCTCGTTTCATCCGTTCTTCCCAACCTTCGTTCAGCATCCTACTTTAAACTTTAGCCATGGCCGCCGATTCCTCCGACAGGAGGGATGGTGATTCTTCGGGTTCACTGCCTGCACCGAATATCGCATCACCTCCCAAACCCTCTTTACACCCGGCAGTCTATGTAGCGTATGTTTTCAATCTTCTCAATAGGAATCCAGGAGTTAACGGCCGTCTCCTTACAGAGTATGGATTGGTTTGAGTTCGTCTGTAATTTTGTTCAACAAGTGGATTTTATTCAGTCTTGAATTTCGTAAGTTCTCCGAAAGTTTAGTGAGAGGTTCAATTGCTGATATTCCCCCCCCACCCACAGCGTTCCGTAAGACTCCCGGAAAGCCAGTTACTTGATTTCCCTATATCGCACGCATTCTTCGAGGTCACAGCTAAACCCCAGGAATTTGATTAATATAGCAATATTCTTAACCACATGGCACCTTATCTTTGCGACTATCGCGACGCAGGTTCTCGCGAGGACGTCTACCCTTCTGGACGGCCGTCACACTGTTAAAATGACCGGACGGATCTATTTGAGAGCGATTGTGCCCATTGGATTCTTTTTTAGCTTAAGCTTAATTTGTGGAAACAAGGCATATCTTTATCTCAGTGTTTCCTTTATTCAAATGTTGAAGGTAGGATCTTTTATCCAAACTAAGAGAAAATAATTCATCGATGCTTACCAAGGTTAATTATATAGGCGACCACTCCAGTAGCTGTGCTTCTCGCGGGGTGGGGACTGGGGATTGATTCGCCCAATCTCAAGGTTCTGGGCAATGTTTCTTTCATCGTCATTGGTGTCGTGATTGCCTCGTATGGGGAAATTGCGTTCAACCTTATTGGCTTCCTCTACCAAATCATCGGTATCGTTTTCGAGGCTATTCGTCTCGTCATGGTTCAAAGACTTCTATCTTCGGCAGAATTCAAGATGGACCCCTTGGTATCATTGTATTATTTCGCTCCGGTCTGTGCAGGCATGAACTTCGTCATGTTTCTCATTTTCGAAGGGTCAAAATTGGGATTATCCGACATTGCCCGTGTGGGCATCTTCACTCTATTGGCAAACGCCATGGTGGCTTTTGGTTTGAATGTTTCTGTCGTGTTTTTGGTATGTGCTGCCGGTTGTGGATGCCTCTGATGAATCAAAGCTAATAGAACGGCAGATTGGGAAAACATCGTCATTGGTTCTTACATTATGCGGTGTACTTAAGGATATTCTCCTTGTTGTTGCCTCTGTCGTTATTTGGGCAGATCCACTTAGCGGTCTCCAGATGTTCGGTTACAGCATAGCATTGGGTGGTCTTGTGTACTACAAGCTTGGATCAGATAAGCTCCGGGAGACCTATGTCAAGCTTCGTAACGATGGCACGGTGGCATGGCGAAACTTTGGGGATACCTACCCAGCATTGCGGAAAGCTACTCTTATTGGCGCAACCGTCATCTTCTTATTATTAGGCTTGGGATCTTTGTATGGAGGCGGCAGCGCTGGGCCCGCATACACGGGAGTCCGGTTATCTGATTCATCGGCAGTCCTTCCAGGCATTCTCCCAGGTAGCACTCCGGATGAAAGTTACAAGCCCAAGCGAAAGCTTGACATTGTCGTCAGCATAAATTCCGAGGAGCCAGCAATGGTCGGCTGGAGTCTAAAAGAAATCAGGGCTATCAAAGCTTTTTCTGGGCTTGACCCGAATGTTGTTGTCTACTTTAGAAATCCAAAGTTGGATCAATTATCTGTCAAGAAAAATACCGAGGCAGCTTCAGTAAAGGGATTAGGAAGCATTGGAGGAGATGACGACACCTATCTTTCACACATCGTGGAGCAATGGGACGACCTTGCGGAACACACATTATTTCTCAACGGTGCATTCAAAGATCTTCCAAAGGTTAAAAGCCGTATCGAGGATTTCTTTAAGCCCAGCACTGGTGTGCTTTCCCTGGGTGCCGGATACGGGAGTTGCTCTTGTGAATCATGCAAGGACCCTTGGGGTAATGATGATCTGAGCCGTGTCCCTGGTATCTTCTCTGCTGTCTATTCAGAGCTCTGTCCTCCTTCCAATGTGCTCTTGTCATCTTCCGGTCAATTCCTTGTCTCTGCTAAGCGCATCAGAGGAACACCAAAGCATACTTACGAACACCTGAAAACCCTATTGGAAAGCGACAAGAAACACTGGATCCACAAAGAGGCAAAGAGCATCGATGAACCTGATCACCCTTCCTTCGGGCGTGTCATGGAAAAGAGCTGGATGATTGCATTCAAGTGTGTCGACCCCAGGTTGGCGCAAAGCTGCCCAACTCTTGGCGATAGAAGAAGGGAGACAGACCCAGATGAGAGGTGCCAGTGCATCGATTAACCATACAAACCAGAATTGGTAATGAAGTTGCAGTGCAGAACATTTTGGGGTTTATGGGAAGAGTTAGAGTTAATAAAATAGCTATATAGAGGGATCGGTACCTTCTCCAACTTAAATTGATGGGAGCGAACTCAGGATCTTCGGCCCCGGATTTCTTTTATTTCTTTTTATTATTTTGCAACATTTTCCTGTACTATTATCGGCGTGCTTTAGAGGAGGAGACGGTATTTCCTCGGAAAAGATATACATGTATTAATGAATATCCACATGACATGGCTCGATTGGATGATAACTACGAGTTGGCGCATATATGCTGGATATAGGTAGAGCGGTTTGGTGCAATGGAACGAAGGCAACCTATCAAGGGCGATATTTTACCCTCATATGTACTGTGATGTGACAGCTTATAACCGAGAAAGAACTGCTATCGAGATTGGATTAAGGGGGACAGCATGATAATTGATATATAATATTTTTTAACAAGCGGGTTCGCGCTCTAGTAAGGCCCGGCCGGGGACATGATGGGTTCTAGAGATTAGATCCTTGATTCTGTATGCTACACGAGATCTAGAGCGTGTCGGGCCAATAATCCACTGTACACTATTTGTTCCCGGGCCCCGGTAGTGTAGTTGGTTATCACCCTTTCAGAGCTTGAAAAGCCAGCTCTTAATGAAACAGCTATAAGAATAATAGTTTGGTTGAGAATCCTATTGTTATCATGGTCAGTTTCTTTTTTTGCTCTCCCTCTGGATCCAAAGATATTTACATATGTTTCGCGATGCAGATGATCTACATGTATATAAGACTTGTTCCCAGTCAATCCTATCTAAAGAACACCATATCCACCTATATACTCTCCACAGTACGGTTAACTATAAATGTAGGATGTAAGCACAAGTACATGTAGTTATAATCAGTGCTCCATTCAACGGAGACCTTGGTTTGGTCAACTGATAACCTAATGTGGAAATTGATCGACCCGAGTGATAATACATGAGTATGCTAATTGTTACCCAAATGGTTAGATAGATATAGATTTTACGAGAATATAATAAGGTCTGAACTTGTGCACAAATACAATCTTGAACTATGGATGTGGAGGTCTGAATTTTTTTTAAAAAAAGGGTGGCGTTTCTTTAATTTTCATTGAGTGAACTCCCGAATTTGCAATTGAGGAAGTTCGATCCAAACAACACTTTGTTTAATACTACTGGACTTCAGTCAAATATTTTCAAATTTATTTTTGGGATTCTATGTGGAATTTTGCAACCCTGCGCGCCTCCCTTTTTAGAGATTTTTTCGCTGATAATACTTATATCGAGTGAGACCTGGTGACGAAAATTATGGCTACAATGGGTTAGGAAAAATAGAATCTTCGTTGAATTAAGGAGATTGTATTCCTAGCGATTGCATCCAAGACCTGCAACAAGCCGTAGGCCTGAGTTCTTTAGTTTTCTTTAGTGTGAGGTCATCTGGTCCATAGGGCCGTTCAAACTAATGCATTCCTCTTCAACCCTGAGACATCACCAAATCTCGATATTTCCACAAAATCCCAGCTAATATAATACTATCATTATCTCTTATTAAAAATTCTATGTTGGCTCCTGGTGGCCCGAGGCGACGGCGAGGCACCTATTTCAGTACAAAGATTTTTCTTTCTTTCTTCCTTCCTTTCCTCCTTCCTTCCTTCCTTCCTTCCTTCCTTCCTTTCTTTCTTTCAGCAAGTTTTTGGCCAACCAGTACCCGTCATTTGCGAAATTATTTTCGTCCTGACCTTTTATATTGATTACGGGTTCGAATCCCGTGCCCCCCACCCCCGGTATATACCCATCTCAAATGAGGACAGTGGTAATCCCTTGAACGTCGCCATAACATGCGAGCATGAAATTATTATTATTATTATATTATTACAGGAGATTAAATCATAGGATATCACTCGTATACAAAGGTACCAGTGCGTAGCTGTGCCTAGAAGTTTCCTTATGTGGGAGCGGTGTAGAACACATCACAGGTTGTGACCTGTTGTGCGGATGATGCGGGCATCAATGGATAACCCCACGATCTGCGGGCTCGGCTAATTCGTCTGTGAGTGGCGCGTGACCTTGGTTACGCAGCCGGCAGTAACAGCAACTATCCAACTGTCCAACTGCCAACCCCTCATCTAAAGGTCGCCGCCTCTCCGCTAGCAGTAGCATCCTAAGAAACAGCTCGCTCTCTTTAAAAGTCCTTCATATCTCGATATCTAAGTTAACCCAGTGTTCAAGTCAATTCGCTTTCCCACAATCGATCATGGTATGTATGCAACCTAATCTATGCCCCTCCCCCTCGCTCCCTCCCGTCCTTTTCACCCCCTGCTGCGATGCAGCAACTACAGTACATGTAGATATATACCCGCTGGGAGGGATGGAGTGAAGTGAAGTGCAGGTTGCATGGGCCATGATACAGTACGATATTAATACGCGGCATCTAGTCTACCGAAGAAACCGGTCTCCCCGCTCACTGGACCGTGCGGTTCTCCAAGTCTAAGAACCTCCCATACTACTTCAACACATCTACCAACGCATCGCAATGGGCTCCTCCGCCTGATGCGGACACTGAGAAGCTGAAGGTGTATATGGCGAATGAATTCCCCGCCACGATGCTGCAGCCGTCTGAGGGCGGTGGCCAGGCGGGGAAGATCAGATGCAGCCACTTGCTTGTCAAGCACGAGGGAAGCAGAAGGGCTAGCTCATGGAAGGAGGTTTGTTGTGCCCACCTTCCCCAGCCCCCAACTTATGCTGAATAAGAGTACAGGCCAAAATTACCAGGACAAAGGAAGAGGCTATGGAGATGATTCTCGGCTTCGAGGCGCGTGTGAGAGATGGCTCGGTTAGCTTGGCTGAACTGGCGCTCACCGAGTCTGATTGCAGCAGTGCGAGAAAGCGCGGCGATCTGTTGGTTTCCCCTTCATATATCTATCGCAAACCACCTTCCAGGCGCTGACAGAGAATAGTGGGTTCTTCGGAAGGGGCGAAATGCAGAAGGAGTTTGAAGATGCTGCCTTCGAGCTAAGACCTGGTGAAATGAGCCATGCCGTGGAGACTGCTTCTGGAATCCATCTTATCGAAAGGTATGCGCTTTCCTTCCTATTTTCATTTCTCTCCATCTTGCTTGCCGCTTTCTTTATCCCGAATTTAGACGGCTTGAAACTAATTCGGTGGCATGTGGCATGTGGCATGTGGCAGGTTGGAATGAGCTTTTAGCTTTAGGTACTTACCCGTTCAGAGATATTATTCTCGTAGGAAATGAGAAATGAAATACAGCATTTTTTTTTTCTCTCCCTCCTGCGTTCAGGTATTCTGCTCGTTTACCGCCACCTACTTATATCTTCCCCCTCCATTTCTCATCTTTCCTCTTTCCTCTGCTAGTATATGTAGCGTATTGCTATCGATTGATTCAAACAAATGAACTTGGAAGGCGGGTATATTGGGTGATTATGTATATTGTACATTATGTACTGTACATCCGGTTGCATCCCCGGATCCCCGGCCTTCGCATTTCTTTCTCACTTCTGCAGAGAAGGAATTTGGTAATTTGCCAGTCAGATACCGACTTTTGAGATAGATAGCAGAGCTCAATTGAGCAGTGTAGAGTACCTGAGACACGTGTATGTGCATAGAGATAGAGTAGTATACCCGGCCGGCGTCAATCAGATCTACAAGGCAGCCATTTTTGAGAAAACCCTCGGCCCGTGTTTAGCTGCCTAGAGCAAGCTTGAGAGAAAACAAATGTACTGATTGAGGTGATATAACCCGATCCATTCCATGAGTACTACAAATACCGTACCGGTACTCTACATACTATCTAATCCCTGTTACATGCGCATATCTGAGCCTTATCTCCAACGTTCTATCGAGATCGAGAAAAACAAACAAAAAACCTGAAAACAGCCATGTTCTCCACTCCATGGTCCACTCTACCATGGGTGGAGGTTAGGGCGGGGCGGATAAATTTGATATCCATCATACCTGTGGGATGACTTCACGAGCTCAAGCAGATCGGATGCTGATGCTCGTGAAGTGGGGAGATGGAGCGGGGGAAACACGTATTCATCAGTGAAACAAATCACCCAAGAGAAAATGAGATCGATGGGTGCGGGAGAAGTTGGGACCCTTCCTACCTATGGGCAGGATTAAAAAAAGCTTCAGAGGTTACAATAAGATGCCATGCACCGCACAGACATCGCCGATTCGCCTGGCGATGAAGTAGGTAGGTAGGTGTAGGTACATATGTATGTAGGTAATAGCTGAGCGCCATCACGAGTCATTTCACGTAATGAGTGTTTTCTCGGTTGGTTGAAGCGCTGGCTAGCTATCTGGTTGAAGGATCGATATCACGAACGGAATATAAGATAATCAAATCAAACGTTTCGACAGCCTATTCCTGTCATATAATCCAATTACCGGGTTCTAAGAGCGGAAACACAGCACTCTAGTAGTAACTCCAAGCTCTGTCAACAGGGACTGGGGGGGGGTTAAAAGTTCTTCCGAGGAAAATTTCTGGTGTTGACATTAGATGATAAATATAAACATTCGCATGTGATATGACTTGTTGGAAAACCAGAAATTTGGTGTTGGCGGGCACATGTCTGATCGTATCATATACAGTCGCACCTCGCTATGTCGTATCTCGATGTCCCGGATCTCTTGCTGTCTCGTACGAATTGGCCTGCTACTTGTTTTCCACACCAAAACCTATTTGCTATCTCGTATTTTGGCACTTTTCGGATCGTACGGAAAATTGAGAACAGATATCCCCTGTCTCCATACAAATAGTATTTGCTATCTCGGATTTTTAGGTCTTGGAAGCAGTTATAGCGGGGGTTGAGGGAGCAGCTATTCTAATAGAGAAGTGAGCTTAAGGAGGATTCTGCACTGCTCTGTACATGGGCTCAGAGTAGGCTCAGAGGATCGCTCCATCTCTCATTTATAGGAGTTAAACCTCTCAATAACCTTTATATGAATTTCAGGATATTTTAACAACTGATACTTGTATCTATCTCTAATTTGGTACCTGTTCGAATTCCAGTTATTTAGATAGATTCAGCATGAAATTCCATCCAAAAATGAAGATTTTTTGATTCCATACCCCTGTCAGCTTGGGAATTATTATTTGCTGTCTCGTATATTTGCTATCTCGTACGGACTGAGCTCCTCGAACGCGCTAACGACATAGCGAGGTGCGACTGTATGGAGGGGTATGTATTCTAGGGTGTGGTTTAATTGAGCCTCATGCCATTTCTTTCATTCCTAACCTTCACGAACCTCGGGTACACGGGAATGAGAAGAGGGTTTCTACTCGTTCTCTAGCCCGGTGGAATTGAAGCCGGGAAAAAGGGTTCTATTCGACCAATGTTGTTGTCGATGTGAGAGTTCAGGCTAGGTACCCACTACCAGTACCACCACCACTATGGTCCACCTAGGGAACGTTTCCGCCACAGGGCTGACACTGACGATGCATGTGGCGGCCGGAAGCGAGAAGTTCGTGTGTGTGTGTTTGGGTTTCCGAGCGAGCTTTAATCCTTGTCTTGCGCGCTGATCGTCCCTTCCGCGGATTGGGATTAGGGAGAGTTATCTTTGGCGCGGTGTGCTCGAGCCGCGAGCGGTTTTCACATGTGAAGGCGCCTTTCTTTTTTTTTTTATTTCTCTCGCGATGTTTGCAACACACTCAGTCTGAGCTCCTGAAGGCGAGAGATCAAGAGATCACCCTGTGATGGGTCAATTGGATGAAACCTAGAGCATTGAGAGTTAATTGACTGCATACAATACCTTCCCTACCCAGAGGTTGAAAGAAGAGGAGTTGACAGGAAAGTGGAGAAAACGGTTAAAATCTACAACGGCATGCAGCTGCAGATACGGCCAAACGACTCACAACCTATCGTCGAAATCTGTGGTCGTCGAATCTAGCGGTTTGCGGACAACATACCGGCAGATTTACGATATCGGAAAGCACACCCATGACAAGCCAGCCCAATGATAAGAGACCCTATCGAGTGTGTCCAACTGGGGGCTTTTCTTTTTCTTGCTCTTCACATGTCAGGCAAAATGAGGGAGGCGAAAGTTGCGGCGCGGAGCGCGAAATACAGTGGGGGACGAGAGGGGTTGCTGCTGCATACGTACGTAGACGCAGATACTTATCACCCACTCAATTCTAGGCAGATACGGTCTGTGTGAGGTACATATGTTTCGATACAAATACGACGGTTTCCCCCCCTCATCTGCCTTGATCTTACTTGTCTCTTAGTTCTGCTCATTGCTTCATCTACACTTGCGCTCCTACCTCATTGCTACATAGTAAGTTGATCCTCCTGGTTTCAACCCAACCACATATTTCCTCCTGTTCTACCCCTTCTACCCGCAAACCAATCCTTCTGGCCTCACTATATATATAACATCCCACTAACTCACCTCGTATCAATAGCTTCTTCGTCGTCCCCCAATAAAAAAAACTTAAATCACCTCATCCCAAACTACTATCACACCATCACAATGTCTGCCACCGAGACCCAGGAGCAAATGACCAACGGCGAGGCCGTCACCCTCAAGTCCCTCGACCACCTTGCCTCTTACCCAATAATCTCTGACTCCATCACCACCTTCAAAGGCTACCCTCTTGGCCAGCGATCCATCAACATCACACACTCAGCATACAGCACCTTCATTGCCCCATTCTCATCCTACCTCTCCAAAGCCGCCCCTCTTGTCAACCGCGCCGATGACCTCGCTGAGAGCAGCCTAGGAAAGCTTGAGGAGCGCTTCCCCATTGTCAAGGAGCCCACTGAGAACATCAAGAACTCGGTCGTTGGATACCCAAAGAAGCTTGCTGGTGAGGCCTACGCACGTGGATTAGAGCTTGCAAATGACACAAAGGAGTATGTCTGCACTGTCTATGGCGAAGAGCTTAACAGGCAAGGATCCGGAGAGAAGGGATATATTCCTATGGCCAAGGCAGGTGTGACGACGGGATTGGTGGTCAGCTCAGACTTGATGAGTTACATCGCGTCATACCTGGGAAAGAAGAGCAAGAAGGCCAACGGAAAGCTCGAGGAGATCAAAAATGATGCCAAGAGAAACAACTAGAGAGCGTTTTTAAGCCTCTTAAGTTATTGTTTTTGTTTTTTCCTTATCTCTGTTCTTTGCGTTGGGTTGGATTGATGTTTTGGCACACATCCTGGATCGGTCTGCCGCAAGCTTTGCTTTTTTGCTTGCAGTATGGAGGGATTTTCTTTTTTCTTATCAGCTTGGATCTCACTCCGCGGTTTTAAGGAGACATCGAGCAAGAGGCCGGGTCATCGCTTTTTTGTGCTTTTTTTCTCGGTTAGATGGAGTGGCAATTCGTTTTCTTTTTCACTCAACTTCTCTTCTAGGTAAATATATGTAGTCTAATAGAATCGGGGTTTTTCCTTAAAAAAAAAAAAAATACACGTGACTCGCAATTATTCTGAGAAGAAAAGATGAAACGCACTAAAGCTCCTCACTTCTGTAAACGGTATTTTTTTTCTTTTTTGCCCTTTTGCCTTCGTCCGAAGTCGAGCCTCCGCCCGCATGGTTAGGGCATATCCGCCGGCCGGACAAGTGGAAGGATGGGATGGGATGGGGTCAGGCAGGTCGGTAGGTTCGGTAGAGGAGAGGGATCTGAGCACAGACGGGGTCGCCGATGACAGCTACAGATGCGTGGCGCATACATATCGGCCGTGATCGCAATCGAGTGATATTTGGTGAAGACAGTATATATGTTTGTGGATTGTGTATGGTATCCTCGTAGGGCCGCTTGTAGTTCTTACGGGCCCTCATGATGGTTGTTTTTGGGGCGTTGGGTGATACGTGGGTGATGCGTGAGCTGTGGGGGACTGGGTTTGGATACTAAAATATCGAGGTGGGAATAAGAAAAGTCATTTATTTATATAGTACTGTTGTAAGATGGTCTTAGTAACGGTAACTAGACGTGTCATCTTTCTGTATAAAAAGATACCTGTCTTTCATTCTCCTTCGTGATAGAACCATCATCCTATCACTTACATATATTGCGTCTTCCCACAACCATTAATACACCCGTACCACAGCACAATTCTAATACCAGTACCAGTAGCCAGTAGAGAAAACTCCTCCCGAGCCCTCCATATCCCATAGTTGTCCCACCCCCACACTTACACCCCGCCATGGACCCACACAGCAAATCTCCCCATGACCAAGAGT